GAGCGGGCGGGGGCCCGGGCCTCGAGTCCTCGCCTGGAGGCGGCGCGAGAAGGCGCTGCTGGCGCAGCTCTGGGCGCTGCAGGGCGCCGTGCAGCTCACGGCCCGCAGGTACCAGGAGAAGTTCGCCCAGTACATGGCTCACGTCCGCACCTTCGCCAGGGACCCGGGCGGCCGCCACAGCCCGGTAAGCGCAGAGGGATTGGGCACCCGGGGAGTGGTCATTTGGGGTGGAACGACGAACGGTTCTTCCTAGTACTTCAAGATTCCTCTGGAAAGGGGCATCCTTCTTTATCATGCAGTAGGAAGCATCCGCCCGCCCTGATCATATTGTACTATTATCTTTCGAATGTATTAGTATCACAGTTAACCAGGATTGTCTCTTTTCCACTTAGGATTGGAAAGAGTTAGATTCAATTCCAACTTTCGATGGAGAAGGAGGAATTAGGAAAACTCATTTGCCCAGCCAGACCCTTGCTTTCATCTTTCACTCTCCAGCCCAACCCTCCCTGCCTATTTTTTGTACCTTCGGCCTATGCCTGAAGCAAATAGGAGACGGAAAGCGAAGCGAGGACCTCTCGGACCCTGCTTGCCCTCTCCCGCGGCGCCAGCATCCCCGTGGCCTTGTCGGTCCCACACCTGGGAATGGCTTTAGCTCTGAGTGACTTAGTTTGTCTGCCAAACTGCCCATATCAGCTACCTTCTCGATACAGGGACCATCGGGTGTGGGGGACCGAGACAACCTCAGGAGTTGAGAGATTAAGAGATGGGATTTCTTAGACCTGCAGAGTTCTTTTTACCACCCTGCCCTTCCCTACATAATCCTTCCCTGCCTCCGATTGCGTTATTGGTGGAGCGTGTGTGTTTGTGTGTGTGTGTGTGTGACTTGAGAGCAGCCACATCCATCTGTGGTCAGACTAGCCCCGTGACCCCCCAGGCAGCGGCTGTTTCCCTTCTTTGTCGAAGCTGCTGGCCCGGAACTGTGCTAGTGGACTGCCGTCTTTCAGACCGAATAAACAAGCCTCTTCGCAGCACCCCGTGTGAAGAGGCTTGTTTATAAAGCTGTTACTTCTCTTCTGGAGGACCTCTGCACAGTGTTTGACATTGTTAGTCGCTGCCATGGTGAGCAGGGATTTAGCAGAACTTGCACTCCATTCAAGGAGCTGTTTTCATTCTTCAGCGACCTGGGGAGGAGCAACCCAGGACGATTCCCATTTGGGACTGTCTGCACTGCCTCCAACTCAGGCATCGAGTTTAGAAGCTTCTGTCCTTGAACCTGAAAAAGATAATTAACGTGTGAAGGGCTAACATGTTTCTAGTCTGATAAACAGAAGTACACTGCTTATTAAAAGACTGGATAGTACCTATGATTCTTTCTCTATCCTCTTGATATCCAGGTAAATTTACAAAATGGGGAGACCCAGAGAGAAGCAGAGAAATATGCTCTGATTACTAGTTCAGGTTTCAAAGTCTTAGGGAAACTAGGGTTGATGGAAGAGAGCAAAAGCTAGAATTATACGACAGAGAAGTCCATGCAACAAGTCAATCTATGGTTCTGAGAAGTGCGGAAACGCTTCTCCTGTTTCTCACAAACTCGTCATCAAAAGGCTTCTCTGTGCTCATCAGAAATGTCTTCCCACCACCAGTAGGGGCTGCTGTGTGCACTGCCTGGGAAAAGCTCCTGGGAGAAGGTGGTGATGATGGGAGCAGTGGTGATATTTATGGAATTTTATCATTCAGAAGTAATTACCAAATGTATAATTTCCTACAATAGTTAATAATATCCATATCCATGCTTAAAACTTACCTAGTCTGGCACTATTTCATCTTATATTTAAATTGTTTTTTATTAACAAACTGGTTATAGATATAATTCCTATTTATTATTATTTGGCCACCAGGAAAGCAATACATACTACTTTATTTAGCACAAATCCTCTTTTTTAAATTCTGCAGGAAATATGCAAAACCAAATAAGAATACTACTTAAAACTAGGATTATTGTAACCTATAAGAGCCTGCATTACAATAGCAATCCGAATATTACTGCTGAAAAGAAATGTATAAATAGCTCACTATTCCTTAAATCCCTTAAGACTTTCCAAAGTGAAATTTTTACTTAGGATAATTCTTAGATCCTTTAACAATCTATTTTACTCTCCTGTAATGGAGGGAAAAAATAAGGATACCTTCAGGCTTAAACTAGAAATCTGTTTTAAATGACAGTGAAGTCAGAATTAAATGCTGCATTAGAATAAAAGATAGCTGCATGTATAAAAATGCAAAGCCATTTAGTCATTTTTGAAAATAGTTATTTTTCTCACATGCACAGTTGATCCCTTCAAATACATAGTTTCAAAGTAAATTTAGGATGAAATTAACCTTCTCCCAAATTCAACCATCCTTAATTTTAAGGTTTTCCCTTTTTCAAATGTTAATTTATTTGCAGTAAAAAAGCTTTACTGTGGCTTTTATTTTTTTCTTTCATATTTTTTACCTAGTTAGTTATTTTATCCCTTTTCTTCTAGGATGGAGAACATAAGCCATTCACCATTGTGTTAGAAAGAGAAAATGACACGTTGGGATTCAATATTATAGGAGGTCGACCAAATCGGGTAACCCACCTTGTTAATGCATAACTCACTCTTTGCTTATAAAATAATAGAAGACTTAGCTTTCGTTTGTGGGTTGTGAGTAAGAAAAACAAGTGCTTTAATCTTTAAAATCATGCTGTGATCAAATATCGGATTCCTTAATACAAATATTCTAGTACATACTTAGATTTTTTTTGAGAAAAACAAAACAAAGCAACAAAACAATAGCTAACAAACTTGTTTCTCTGTGCTAATTTAAAAAAAAGAGAGTATATTTCACATTTTATCTACATTGTATAGCCCTGTTGGCAAATTTCTTAAATAAACCTATTTCACAATAATGTATATAGGCAATTTCTATTTGATAATATTAAGCAATTGTATTGCCTGCTTGTACCTCCTATTTAAGTTGAATTGATCAGTTTTCAGATGCTAACACAGACTGGGTAGGTTATAATATATGGTGAATGAATGAAGGAACAGTTAAAATAGGTTGAAATAAGGGGTGATTGTTTTCACAATCATGTAGAAAATATCATGTTAAAGAAAGATAGTTGATTTGAAATATTTGTGGCTCCCCAATCAAATCCTTTATTTAACTGAATGAATAATATTTTCTACATTGATGCCAATTGTTTTCAAAATGCATGAGTTGTTATACACTTATACCAAAGACAAAGTTGCAAAGTTCTTTTGTATCCTTCAAATACGACATCAACTTAATTTTCACCATAACTAGAAAAAGGTGGTAAAGTTTAAACAAAAATCATGTTCTCTAATTTACCCAATACACTGCCATGAAATTTTTGCATCCTGCATTGCACATGTTGTCCAAGGAAACTGTCTTAGAGTTTCGAGCCATATGCTGTGTTTAGGTCAGGATGGCAATGACGTATTTCCTCTTTGAGTTTAGGATTTCGAAAACCTAGCAACTGACGAACGCTGTGCTTCTGTTTCTAGAATAGTCCCCATTTATTATGAAGAGATAGAAGTCTTTTCATCATATCATTTTTGTTTTCTTTTCCCCTGAGGAGTATTTTTATAAATGCTAGTTAGGTGTTTGACATTTAGATGACATTGGAAATTTTAAGAGCCTCTTAAAATTCATGTTAAGGAAGGCTAATTAAGGAGAAATAATTTTATTTAAGCTGCCATGAAGTAAAATGCCATTTAAAATTATATGATGTATTAGATGTATTATTAAAGGATGGTGGGCATTTTCCCTAAATAAGTTTTGCAATATAATTGGTTTCTTGTGACTGGCAAAAATGTCCTATTTGTACTGTATTGGCTATATGTTTGAGGTTTAACTAATCATTACACTCATTGCACCTGGAAATGTGTAAAGATTAGACTCGAATGGGTTCTCTTGCAGTTTAGAGTTGATCTTTTGGGATTTCACACTTGAGCAAGCTCCCAGTTTCCCTTATGAATAGGTATAGTCGGAGCCGTATTTCCAAATCGGTCACATCATGAGACAAATTTTATTTTCAAAACTATGACCACATCTCAAACCAATTGTATAGTGAGGCTGGATATGTTTTTTGTTTTCTTTTTAATAACCCTTTATAATTGCTACATCTCTTTAGAAGTGAAATGTTTTATAAATAATACTTAGGAGCCAGTTGATATCACCATGCCCTTTCCTCGTAGCTTTTTATATACACTCAAAAATGTGAGGTAAAGAGATAATCTTGTCAGAGATGCTGGACTTGTTCATTAAAGCTGCCATCTTGATTAATGACTGTTTGGTGTTAAGTTAAAATTCAGTGTCAAATCCCCAGCTAAGAAAGAGAGCTGCATGTTTATGGAAAATTGACAATGTTACATTTGCTAAATTGTCCTTTGTCCAATTTAGAATTTTGTTTACATCTATCTTATTGCTAATGGTTATATTTTTTAATAGAATAATCAGGAAGAAACACCAACAGAAGGAATTTATGTTTCAAAAATTTTGGAAAATGGACCTGCTGACAGAGCAGATGGCCTAGAGATTCATGACAAAATCATTGAGGTAAGACAACAGTAAAACATAAATATGATCCGTGGGAGAAATATTTGGACATTTTAAATTTCCAATTGCCTGATCTTTGTGTGGTGTTATTAGAGTATATATCTAACTATAGTATATAAATAACCCATATGTATTATTAGATATTGGGATAAAAGAATAAGTCATCTGAAGTTTCCAAATGTGTTAATGAATATCCATCTCTGTTTTAATAAATTGCCTTTC